GCGACGCCCTGGGAGCAGCACAGCATGGAACCACTGCAGACCGCTGCTTGGTCAGGCACACTCGGAGCCCTGGCACTGCTCAGCAGTACCGTGAACCACTCTGCATCAGACCATGCCCTGCTGCGCAGCATTATCCGCGCAGCCCACTTGCAGGGGGCACACGTTTACTTCTGGCTCCCCCAGCCTTGCCCCGAGGACACAGAAACAGACTATGTGCACCTCTGCCAAGAACTCGCAGCGCACTGCATTTGGTTAACGCCTCCTGACTCGCAGCCTTGGCTGCTCTGCACAACTGACGAGGCAGCCAAAACACTCGTATCGGCTGAAGACGCCTGGCACAGCCTAATGCATGTTATCGCAAAGAACTGCACAACAACGCTCAAACTGCCAGTGCCGATAGAACGCATCGGTAAATATATGCCCCATCATTTCTTGCCGCGACGCCCGGCCATCTGCGATGGCGCTGGCCTTTTCAGCACAGCAGCCCATACCGCCAGCAATGTCTCTACTAAGCCCAAACCCCTTAAGGCCATAGCCTCCACCTTCCTCACCTACCTTAAATCCCACGGCCTCGTGTCACACATAAAGTCGCGTTTAGAATCCGCAGAGGACAATCCGCCATTATCTGAGGAGCAAGGCCTCGTACTGGCAGAGATCATCAGACAAAGCATGGCACCGCACTCGGACCCGGCTACATTTCACGAAATCTCGCCAGGACAACCCTTCAGGTTGAACGTTCTGCAGTGCTTAGCATCCGCGCTGCAAGACAAAGACGCAGCACTGCCAGCACTACTCGCCGAAGGCGTCCCGACGGGAGCCTTCGAGCCACTGCCCTCGAGTGGTCAATGGACCCCTGCACAGCCTGAACTCGACTTCGCACAGGAGTTCAGCCCCGCATCGCTCGAGCATTGCCGCGGAAACTGGTTGGCAGCAGAATCCAATCAGGAGCTCCTCGAGCAGTTGGTGCGAGACGAGGTAGAGAAAGGCTTTGTCAAGCAATTCCAAGGTGACGAGGCCAGCGCCGCACAGCAATGGCCGCAAGGCACCGCAATAGGTAAGCTAAACATCGTCATGGCCGAGGGCCGCGACCCTAGGTTGGTTTTAGATAGTACTATATGCGGCCTTAATCCTTCAGTGCACCTCCCTGAGCACGTTGCACTGCCCACGGCCTCGGACGTGCAACGCAGTTTTCTGGCTGAAGACTGCTACGCATCGCTCATCGCACTGTCTTTAGATTTTAAAGCAGCGCACAAATGCTGCAAAGTCAAGCCCTCCGACCAAGGCACGCTGTTTAGGGTAGGAGATAAGCTCTACTACTACACCGTATGCCACTTCGGTGCGCGTTTTTCGGCATACTGGTGGCAACGCACCGGAGGTTTGATACTTAGAAGCATACACGCACTGCTCTGCAACCACCCGCACCGCGCATGGTTGTATGTCGATGACCTACTCGCCCTGCTACGCAAAGGCGAATCGGCAGAAGCAGCCGCACTGATCGTGGCTCTGCTTGCGGCACTGCACGCGCCAATCAGCTGGACAAAAGCACAGTTTTCCACCAAAGTCACCTGGTGCGGCTGGAATTTCTGCACAGCATCGGAAACAGTTGAGCTGCGCCAAGCCAAGCTACTCAAGCTGCGCGAACAGCTAGCCGAGCTGCAAAAGCAAAGCAAAGTGCCTCGCAAGGCACTCGAAGGTTCTTGTTGGGCCTCCTCAACTGGGCAACCTCCCTAAGTAAGCACCTGCGCCCCTTTATGGCCCCCCTATATAAAGACCTCCATAGCGCCAAAGGTACGCTGCACAGCATTGCCCCTACAATGTGGCAATCTTTCTACGACGCACTCGATAGCGGAGCCAAGTTAATACGTACCCCGCTAGGTAGCTGGCTGCCCCGCAATGCGCAGCTCCTAGAGGTAGGCAACATTAAAATTGCCTCCAAATCTGATGTGCCCCTTGTGCCCCCGTCCCATAAGCATCAATGGGTTCGCCTGGCTGACCCGCACAGGTCCGAAATTCACTTGCGCACAGAAAGCAAGTTTGTCCTCGCCTGGCTGGCTCAGTGTTTTGCACACGAGCAGCCACGCTCTCTCCGCACTGCACCGCGTCTGCAGTGTTACAGTGCCGCGGACGCTTTTGCGGACACAGAACGCATGGGCATCGGAGGCTGGCTCAGCACTTCCAAGCATTTTATCTGGTTCAGCGAAGTTTTCACAGCGGACCAGGTCCGTCAGCAATGGCCGCAACTTCACGGCAGCATGCAGCCATACATAGGCTGCTTTGAAACACTGGCACAGCTTGCACTGGCGCAGTGCACCTGGCATTGCATTCGCAGTAAGCACGTCAAATTCGTGCTGCCGTCTGCCACAGACAATACTAGCGCAGAAAGTGGCCTCAACAAGCTCTTCAGCACAGCAGAGCCCTTGGGTTTCTTTCTCAGGCTAGCAGCCACGTGGGCGCATCTGCACCGCGTGCAGTTCGAACTCGAACATCTAGCAGGAGAGAAAAATGTCTGGGCAGACAAGCTTAGCCGGGACAACACCTCTTTCCTAAAGCACCGCAGTGCTGACCGAAGACGCATTAGCCTCGCAGAACTAGCTTCAGCATCGCACTGCGTGACGCTTCACGACACTGGCCGCGCTTGGCCCGCACCGCTTGTGCGAGCACAGCACTCGATGCTGCGCTAACCTCTGTCACGCCTTAATCAGACAGTTTTTGCTGCGCCAGCACATTCAAAAAGGCCGCAGAACACGCACTGCTCTGCACGCTTGACTGACGCTGCTGCACTCTCTCTCAGCCTTGACCTGCAGGTACTTTTCGGGAGCGCACCTCCCAACCTCGACGCGGTGGGGGTCTTACAATTCAAACGAGGTTGCTGGATGCGCTAAAGTGGGGGTTCTGAAGCAAGGCATCGCGTGCCCGCAGCTAGATCCTCCGGCAGGCAATGCCCTGCTTCGCAACGCATCCTTCTTAGCAACCTCCGCGGAAAAAGAGCGACGCCGCCTCTTGCCTTTTTCTCTTTTAGGTCAAGCAAGCTTCAGTAGAGAACGCTTGTTGTGACCTTTGTTTTTTTTCGGTGTTCAACAGTGTTTTCTTTGGAAGCCTTGCTTTGAACCCTAGCTCCGCGCTGCACTGGTTCAAAGCGCTAGCAGAAACACTTAACACCAGTAACCCGCGGTTACAGCACTTTTTGTTTCACCCGCCCTCCACGCCCTGGGGGTTCTGAAGCAAGGCATCGCGTGCCCGCAGCTAGATCCTCCGGCAGGCAATGCCCTGCTTCGCAACGCATCCTTCTTAGCAACCTCCGCGGAAAAAGAAGAGCGACGCCGCCTCTTGCCTTTTTCTCTTTTAGGTCAAGCAAGCTTCAGTAGAGAACTGGGCAGCTTCAGCATTTGGTGCTTTGGACGATTTCGGCGTGGAACTATGCCGATGCCGCCTCGTGGCGTTTTGCTTCTCACCATGGCCCTAAATTTCATCTGAGGTTCTAGGGGTTGAACTCCAACTCCCGCGTCTATTATCTTCGAGCCTTGCTGCGGTTCTTCGCCTTCCTAGAAATGGAGGATCATGGCTGCCCACCGCTGTTCGTGAGCTTGATTTGTTGTTGGGAGAGTTCATGAACGAATGCTTTGAAGAAGGCTTCATGGGTATGCCGGGGCGGCCGTTTCTGCCCTCAACAGAATTATTTTTTGGCTGAGGCCGAGACTTTTTAGAGCCACCCAGCTCTGAACAAACTGGAGCAAAGTGTACAAACCAGTCCGTGCCACGCCGTTGCCTTGGCAACTAGTTCAAGCGATGGTTGGCGCTGTCCCTTCTTGCTGCCTCCTGAGCAAAGGCAGTAACTCTTTGCGTGGGCGGCAACAGCGCATCCGTTTGGAGTTGAGGAGCACGTTTCAGCCTTTAGAGTGGAAGGCGCGCCGCGCTGCAGTTTCACCTTGACCTCAAGCGAGTTTGGGCCCGTTTCCGCGGGGAGACCACTGGCCCTTGGGAAAGCTCCGCTTTGCAGGTTAAGCTGCGCCCGCTCCTCCTGTCAAAATGATCGCCTCCGGAGTGCGTCCACTGGGCCGTTTTCGTGGACATTTACTTTGGGTGCTTGATGCGCGCAAGTTTTGTGCTTTTGCTTGGTCATTACCAAGACATAGAGGAGCTACAGTCGATTCACGGTATGGCTTTGGAAAAAGAGGAGCTGTTGCCGAGAAGAGGATGGCGATCGTACTCTTCAAGAATGACATTAGGGAGTCTTGTTGTTGTTGTCGTCGTCGTCTATGGAAGTCTTGTTACAAAGCAAGACTGACATGTTGGATTCTGGAAGTGGTGCTTCCTATAGCAGCATGTTCATACGGCGCGACATGCGCAAAGGAATCGAAGGTTGCGAGACAGCAGCTTTCAACATACAACTTTGGTGAACATCTCCGAGATCTTTACATTGCCGATGTGAGCCCGTTTAAGTCCCTGTCAAGGAAAACAAGGCTTGAATGATGGACATTCCGAACATCCTCGTTACGCTTCCCTTCCACCTTGATTTCTCAAGCATCTCTAAATTCTTTGAGCTCCAAAACCTGAATGCTGTTGATGCAATTGAAGCAGTTGACGCGTTTACCGCACTGGTCACAACTAAGAAGAATGTGATATCCTCAGGCTTTTAACATGTAACAAGGAAACCCATGCCCTGCATCTGCAATTGTTGTGAATGTTGAAAACTGAATTGGTGTACACTGAAGTCCAACAGTTGTTACATTGAAAAGCAGACATCAGCTTCTCCAAGACTCTTTCTCAGGCTGCAAGAAAAAGTTGATGTCCTTGAAGTTCGACAATACATCCAATTGCATTTCGCTGCGCTTTGTGTCCTGTCAAATCAAGAAAATCAAACGGCATGCCAAGTACGCTACAAGCTTCGGCCAAACATTATACTGAAGAATGCAGGACGATGTGGTGAGCTCCGATGTGCTATGTTATCAGGTACTCCTTGTTTCGATGTTGGTTTCAGCTGTTAACCCTGCTTCTTGAAGGTCGTCTCGGCTCGATTCGAGGCCGAGAAGCGCTGCCGTGAGGAGCTGCAAAAACGGCTGAAGGCCCAGGGCTCCCAAGGAAAGGAGGGTTGAGGCTTCAGATGGTTTCTGATTTAGGGCGCACTTCTGGGAGCACCCTTTTCTTGCAGCGAAAGGACGGAAGCCGAGTTAAAAGCTACGGCTACGCATGGCGCCGCCCTGTGTGGGGTCTAGGGTCGGCTGGGCTGTCTTTCGTTGGTGTCCTTGTGCAGTGATAGCAGAATTGGTGGCATTTGTGAGGTTGGGGATTCAGGGTGAGGGTTCCAGTCCAAGAAACAGAGATATGGAGACTTGGCGGTTTCGGGCTTGGGGCTCAGGGGATCGAAGTGTAGGTTATGTTGGGCTATGTTGGGCCAAACCTCTGCAGCGCCATGGGTCAGGCAGAGGAAGAGGAGCTCAGATGGCGACAAATCAATCCACCCGAAAGGCATCCGGGATGGTCGCACAGTCTGGGCCGGAAATGGTGTCGATACGGCTCCTTGCAGATAGCCACGGCTTCGGTAATTGCTACATCCGACTTTGTCGGACTTCGACTTCGTAAGTGTTCTCACTACCTGGCCTACGCAATGCTATTTGCTGGAATTACGAAGGTCGAGCTTCGCCAGGTCCTATGGAAATGTCAAGCCCAACATGCCCAACTCAAAAGCCACTCTTAGACTGGAGAGGCATTCCTGCTTCTTCACCGAGAGGTAAAGTATCCGCTTTGGGAGATTCTTGCATAGCTAGCCCATGTCAAACTATGACTCCGCCTCACATCAGTCAAAGGACCCCGGTGGTGGTGCCTGCTCGGATCCAGGCCGTCGTGGTTTTCAGAAGATTCAATCGGGTTCCCCAGTGTAGTACAACCTAATAGCTTGGGGTTGTTGAGAAGCTGTGCTGTCTTCTCGCAAAAGATGCATCACCGATTTTTAAGGTTGAACAGTATTGGATTCGGTCTCGACTTTCTGGGACAAAGACGAGTCGTTAGATACATTGGGTCTTTCTTCGCAGCGAGTAGTAAACTAGCAGTATAGTGCTCGCAGCATAAGCAGCATGGATCATCAGTACTGGCAACGTAGCGACAACCGTTCTAGTACAAGTGTTCAACTAATAGTGGTATCAGCAATGCTGGTACACGACACATTGAAGCGGCCCCCCAGCCTGGACGATAGCAGCCTCCACGTTTAGCCGAATTGTCAGCCTTCGCATTGGCTTCTGGACGTCCCGGCGGTGCTAAGCTTACCAGGCGACCCCTCCGCTCCGATCTCTGCGGATCCCCGCGGATCCCCGCGGATCGCTGCGTCGGCCGAGGTGCCCTCGCTGCTGAGCGAAGCGGAGCGCCGGGCCCGCGCCGAACTCCAGGCGAGGCTCAAGGCGCGCGCCAGCAGCAGCGGAGCCCCCTACCGCCTCTTCTTGACCTGAGACCTGAGTGCTTTTTTCACTGATCTGCCGCTTGAGCATCTTTCTGCCTTCTCGAGGAAGAGGAGCGCCTTATTCAAGAGGAGAGGCTTGGCCCACTGCCTGTGGCCCCAAGGGGGCAGGTTTCGATTCTCGGTTTCAAAACGCCTTTAGGGTGATGCACTGCCAACCAGCCTCGAATTGGCGTCAAATCTGGTCATGTGAGCTCGGTCTATCGCCTCCTGCTGTTTTCGGTTTAGTCGTGGCTTACGTTGCTTCTGGCGATGTCGCTCTTAGATTGAGTTCTGCGTCAGGTCGGAAGGACGCTGACGGCTAAAAGTGGCTCTCGCTCTGGACTGGACCCTCTTACTAGAAGCTAGTAGGCCCGCAGAGTGATTCAACCCTGTGTGCCCAAGCCAAGCTTATGCATCCCACAATCCCCTCCCCAATTACCCAACCTTCTCGTCATATATCCCCACCACTCAGCCACAGCCATCAAGAGCAGTCATTGCTAGGGTTCTACCTTCCTTGTCCTTGAGCACACACAATTGAAACACACAGGGTATAGTCTCGGACCCTGCCCCAGCAGCAAGTGTGGTTGTTTGTGGTCCTTCAGCTGCAGCGTCTTAGCGCAGCTTCTGCGAGGATCTGTTCTGGCACTGGCAACACCCCAAGTCGTCCGAACCCTTCTCCGAGCCAGGGCCAAAGCCCAGCTTCAAGCGAGGCTGCAGGCTTCCGGCACTTTAGGGGACTTCCGGGCTTTGCTGACAAGTCAAAGTCGGCCGGGAGTCGATGGATGACAGGGACAGGCTATGGGCACGCTTGCAGACAGAATTTCCATGGCCCCCGCCCGGAGAACCGTGGGACCTGAACAGCCGAAGGCTGAAGCTGCGCAGGCACAGGCCAAGGCTATGGCAGAGGCGCAGAAGGCTCGCTTGCGAGTCTACGTCAACTTCTCTCTGAAGCTTAGGCGCTCAACAGGATGTGTCCAGGCACAGGTTTCACAAGGACTAAGGACCGCATTTCATGCAAGTCTGCCGAATCGAAAATCGTCTCCGACGTACTATTTTCTTCGAAAATAGGATGCACAACGTGTACGAATGCGTACGAGGAGTGCTTTGTTGCAGTTCGCTTCTGTGCCTTGAGGGGCTGATGGTTTGTTTCTGCGCCTGCAGTCTGATTGATGGTTGAGATTTTGAATTCAATAGACAAACAGTACGTTTGGAGTCCAAAGCACGTCCAAATTGCCTATACGCATGAGCGAGGAGCTTACAGTTACATGCGTCTTCTCGCATTGACTGACATTTCTGGCATTCAGCGAGGTCCAGATGTCCAAGAATCAGCAGCTCGTCGAGTAGTCAGAGTCAAAGTCCCGACTTCACGCCTCGTCTATCCAACCTTGTCCTATCTCCCTTCAAAAGGCCCCGTATGGTCAACGGAAATGCTGAGACCCGAGCCGGACTTGTCTCCAAAAGGCCCCCGTAGCGACCGTTAGTGCAAGCCCTAAGCTTTAAGCCCTTAAAGTTCAGAGCTGTAAAACTGTGAGGCGCAGGCGGAAGCCGCAAAGGCTCGTGCCAAGGCGGAGGCTGAGGCCCAAGCCCGTGCGCGGGCAGCAGCAGTGCAGCCGCACCCACCGCCGCCACCACCACAGGAGGAGGCGGAGGACAGGAGGAGTAGGAGAAGGAGGAGTTTGGTAATTTAGTAGTATTAGCATTAGTATTAGTGTTCGTATTAGTGTTAGTCTCAGTCGTAGTCTTCGTCTTGGTCCTCGTCCTGGTCTTAGTCTTAGTATTCTTAATCGTAGTCGGATTTGTATTCATACGCGTTCTCGTAGTCGTAGCAGCGTTAGTATTGCAAGTACTAGTATTCCCCAAAGCAACGGCGTCGGGTTCTTCGTTGGAGGGCTCGTCGGTTGTTCTAGATGCATCTACGTTCTTTATACAAACTTAGTACTGTTCCACTTAGGTTTACTATCACTATACTAATAATAATAACAACTATTATGATTATTGTTATTTTTATTATTGTTGTTGTTACTATTAATATTGTGATTATTGTTATCATTTCTAGTAGTGGTGGTAGTGGTAGAAGTGGTAGGAATGCAGTGGTAGTAGTCGTAGCAGTAGTAGCAGTAGCAGCAGCAGCAGTAGCAGGAATAAGGGTTGGAGTAGGACTAGCGCTGGCACTAGCAGTAGGGATGGGAGGAGGCGAAGCATGCGCGGACGGGGCAGCATTCGTCCATAGCGCTTTCGTCGCTGTGGTAGTGCAGGAGACGTATGTGAGTTGCAATGCTGCAGGCCGGGACCTACGAGCATCGAATCTGAGCGCGGTGCTGGCAGTCGAAGGTCTCCTCTCCGTACTTAGGGCCGTAGGGATTCGAACAATGAAGACAGCTTTCCTTATACTTTTTTCGATGTGCAGAAGGACGCCGCCTGTTCGTACCGCCTTTGGGTTCAATCGTTCTGGGCTTGTGGACCGGAGTTCACGCTGAAAGGCTTGCAAGTGATCAATCTATGCGATACACCCGACTCTAAATTCACGAGAGCCTGACGTCTCCTACCAGGTGTCAGAACTAAAGGATGGAGCCCACAGGGATCTCTTGCATCCGATGCTGTGCTTGGCAAAAGCTCTTTTGCACTGCCTGCGGAGATCCTTCGGGTTCTGGCTTGGGTCACCAAGCCCATGTGAGCCGGTTTGTCGCAGTCTGTACAAGGAACTACAACTACTGAACAAAAGCGAAAGCCTGCACAAGACTCCGCGATCCTCACGCCGCGAAATTGTGGTTCAGTTGAGACATCTGTAAATGGGGTGGCTGCTGCCATCATGGAGGCAGGCCGATGGAGGGGGAGTAATAACGATGTGAATATAATTAGACGAATACACCTGCTAACCGCTAACCATACTACTGCTGCAGCAAGATTCACAATAACGGCTACTACGACGACGACTGCTTCTTTTCGTAATTATTGTTCTGCATGTTCTTCTTCCACCTTCAACAACAACAACGACTGCAAGAAGGTTAAGAACATGAACATGAACAAAAATAACAATAGCAACAACCAAAGCAAAACACACCACCACCACCACCACCACCACCAACAACAACAACAACAACGACAACAACAACAACTTTCAATTGAGCGCGGCGCGAGCCTGCTCTGCGCGTGGCGGGCGCTGGACTCAGCAGACACTCGGTGAAACCGGAAACAGCAGGACCGAACTTGCTACCCACGACCAAAATAGTATAGACACTGCCGAAAAGGTTTTAGAGCTACGCATGTCACTGGTGTGAGACCTGGGTGGCATGGACGGATGTACAACCGCCGACACGCTCAGTGTGTACTGTCGCGTCCGACGCACACGCACCAACGTCTGCTGAGTCGTACCTTGACAAGCAAGGCCAGGTCTCAAAGTGCCAGTCTAGCTGCGTCCCGCACTTGGTCACTTACAGACGAAGGCGTTGGGCAGTAAGGGCCTGAGGTACCTGTGCAGGCAAGATGAAGATAGTGGGTGCATGCAGCCAGCGCCATTACTCTGCTCACTTGTCTCCGCACTTTTTTGATGCTTGAGCAAGATGCACGGTAGACTGCCAGAGCGGCAGCGCCTGTCCCAGAACTTCAAGTGCTGGTCCAGTGCCGCAAGAAAGGCAGCAACGTTGACGACAGCATCGCCGCGGAAGACAGTGGTTGAGAGGCTTTGGGCTGTGTCCTGCCGTAAAAGAGGCTGTGCCCTGGCTGCTGATTCAGCATCTCCTGGTCCAGGAAGGAGGTTGCGACCTACATCTACACCTGCTCCTACTCCTACTCCCCCACTGCTATTACAACAGCTTCCACTGCTTCACTATTGCTACTGCTACTGCTACTGCTACTGCTACTACTTCTACTTCTACTTCTACTGCTACTGCTACTTCTACTTCTGCTTCTGCTTCTGCTACTAGTACTACTACTACTACTACTACTACTACTACTACTACTACTAGGCACCCCCCCTACCAACTACACTTGCTCTTAGCCATGTTAAGACAACATCCATTTTACTCGGTATTTACAGCACTTTCGTCATGTCCGATCATCATAAGAGGCCTCAAAATCCACTTGTCGAGTTTGTAAACTCGGGCTCTTGATTTTGGACTTGATTCTGGGGGGGGGGGGGGGG